ACTCTGCCCGATGAAGTCCCCCACATCTGTTGGGCTCCCAGGTCAGAGAGAGGGAGCGTTAGAAGACAGATCTGTTACAAAGCTTCTTACAGCCACTGAGAGTGCGCACACAGGTGCTCTGGGCTCTGAAATACAGCCTCTGTTTCCACCTGTTACCTGCCCGCCCGGTAAACTGCTCGGTGCTGTGCTCAGAGGAATCAGGGATCCTCCAGTGGCACCCCTGGCACCTCGAATAACAATCCTCATTAATAAACCTGGTCTAGACACAGGGAAAAGAGATGGTGTCAGCCACTTGTTTGCTGCAGCAGCATATAGATAGACGTATGAAGTGTGAAAGTGGAAGCGAATAATAATAATAATAATAATAATAATGGTTGTTTATCCTTTTATCTCAGATAAGTCAGGAAGGCAACCAATAACAGTCTGGCAAACTTAGCAAAATTAGCCACGTTGTGATGGAACCTAGTTAGATTCGTGGGAACATCCTCCTCAGATCTGTCAGCCTGTCAAGAAGAAAAGTTATTGTGGCCTAGAATAAAATGCCCTGGCAACTGAAGGCATAGTTTGAGACTGGACTCTGGGGCACTACCATTACAACTAGCTAACCTTGGGCAAGTCACAGGGCTCCATGTAAACGTAAATGTAAAAGGGGGCTTTGTCTCCGTGGTTAAAATGTGACCAAAACTTAATCAGCAAGGTGAATATTTACAGAAAGATGGACAGGTGTAGAATGGAAGAGAAGCACATGAACAACCCAATAATTTCCAAAATTCCAAGATCTTTACATAAAAACAGTCTCCATAAAATGTTTTTCATATAATCAGTCAAGAACTTCAGTGTACTTTAAAAGCAAAATACAAATTGTTAGAGATACATAAATGACTCAAAGAAACCTGACATACTTTCTTAGTGTCTTTAAAATATTCCAATGGGTTTCACAGTGGAAAGCCATATTTCACATAATTTTCACGTATTTGAAATATGGCTTTCCAAAAACCTCAAACCAAAAATCTAGATGGCATATGAAGTTTTAAAATTCTAGTAACCATTTTCTCTCCTCCTCTCCACCCGGGTCCCCATCTTCCCATTCATTTACTTGTCATCTCATGCAATGGTAGCAACCAAAGAAACACAAGTGATACTTAGAATGAGTGCTTACTTATGTGTTGTGGACGTGTGAACAAAACAGAAAAAAAAAAAAAGATTGTCACTGGGCACACATCCCGTCTTGGGATGGAGCCACACTACAGTTATGGGAGTATACTCGTGGATTACATTTGCTTCTATGAAGGAACTGTACTGTGTCATTGGAAAATGAAAAGGACAGTGAATAGTTTACGATGTTAAGGAAGTATTAATGAGGGTGCCATTACATGAAATCTTCCTCTGGGTTTGCTTCACAGGAGGTCCCAAGACATGGTTTTGAGTGTAGGTCATTTATTTGAAAGCCTTAATCTCTGGAAACTAAACGGGAATAGAAAGCGTGGGAAAGGCAAGGAAAAGTAATAAAGGGTGTGTCATCAGGGTTCTCTCTCCTTCAGGCAGCTGGGGCCAATCCTATTGAAGTACAGTCTGAGATGTACTTCAGAACTGCCTCCATCCTCCCCCTCCCCTCTGCTTCCCCTGCTGAGCAGCACTGATAATGTCAAAGAAAGCCACCTTCAGAGTTGACTATGGATGAGGTGAAGCCAGAGGTTGGCTTCTACCAAAGCTCCCAAGAACAGGATGGGGCGTGCGGTGAAGCGGGGGGTGGGGGTGGGGGGATGGATGGATTCTGGCAGTAGGAAGAACAGGCCTGACGACCCAGAGACATCCAGAGACTTGCCTTTTCTTGTCAATGACTAGTTAGATTAGGAACTGAGAGAGACCATCCTGAATGTGGGCTAATAGACAGTGCTTGGGAGGTTTTGTAACACACTTAAAGGACTTGGAATAATGTCTTAGATACAATGTAATTTTATGTGGGATTTTGACCAGGACATTAGGATTTTCTTCATGACGCTTGCCGACAAAAAGACATTTGTATTTCTTCTTTCTTTTTATTTCCTTTTCTTGTCTCATTACATTAGCTAGCATTTCTAGTATGATATTGAAATCAGTGGTTAGAGGGACTATCCTTGCCTTTGTAGGAAAGCTTCTAATTGTTTTCCCCCCCTTGATGGTGATATTTGCAGAATTTTTTGTAAATGTTCTTTATTAAGTTAAGTAAATTATCTTTTATTTATTGTTGACTGAGAGGATTTTTGTTTGTTGTTTGCTTTGTTGTTTTTATAAATCATGAACTAGTGTTAGATTTTGTCAAATGTTTTCTCCATTTTTTTTCTCTTGACTCTGGTCCTGTAATGGGCTAGAGGGAGTGAGTTTTTAAAATGTTTATTTTGTGTTATGTGCATAAGTATGTTTGCCCAAACGTGTGTATGTGCACCAGGGTGCATGCCTGGTGCTTTCGGAGGGCAGAAGGTATCAGAGCTCCTGGAACTTCAGTTCCAGATGGTTGTGAACCACCATGTGAGTACCGGAAACTGAACCCAGGTTCTGCGCAAAAACAGCAAGAGTTCTTAACCACCGAGCCATCTCTCCTGCTCTGCAGTGATTGTTTTAGATTTTTAAAAAGACCTTTTTGGTTGCAGTGAACAGAAGAGGTGGAATGGTCGTGGGGTAAGAGTTGGGAAACAGCAGGAGGGGTAGGGAAGAGATCAGCGTTCAAATGGAATCTCCATGAGAGGTGGGGACATGAATTAGATGTGACCTTTCTGGATAGGTCTGTGGGCGAAAGAGAAGGAAGCAATTGCATTTCCCAAGGCTAGCCTGGCTGCCCAGTGGATGGTGCCTGTGGCTGACGGGGAGTGATACAGGAGTGCTCCTGTCTGCTGGAGTTCTGGGGGAACTGTAGCAAGCAGAAGCTGGCATAGTGGTCTGCATCCAGGATCCTCTGTTTTCTTGAACCATCATCACACTTTCGTGTCTTGTAGTCCAATGAAATTCATTGTCACCAAAGACCGTCAAGACCTGCCCTCGACAAATCCGGCTGTTCATTCAAACGGGTAAACCCCCCTTTGACGTGGCTGCAGGACAGTTGTCACTTCTCGTCCCCTGTAGTCACACCTTCCCTTGGGCCAGAGCTGGAGCCTCTTCATCTTTCAACTTTCCAAAGGTGAGAAGCCGTCGTGGCTCAGTTCTTAGCCACTCCTCTGGCCACATTCATTCCCTCCACGGTTTCCTAAGCTTATGTATCAAACGCTGCTCTGCACCACTTAACAAAGGGCCTCCCAAAGGATTCCCATATCAGCCTGAAACCCCAACTTTTCCAGTTCTGAACCCAAATCCTGAACCCATTCTAGATTTCCCCTTTTCCATCACAGACCAATCTGAGGACTTGGAACATCTCTTTTGCTTTGCCTTCAAACGCATCCACACCCTGACATCTCCTCTCACAATCTTCAGTGTTGCAGCCCAGATGCTAACCACCAACATTCTCCTTATTGCAACCGCCGCACAGTGGTCCCTTGCAATGCAGTTTACTCTCAGTAGAGAAGCTGAAGCCACTTCTTGAACATTTACATCAGATCATTTCACTTCTAGGCTCAAAACTGATCAATTTTCCACGTCTCCGTGAGACGTTCAGTGTTGCTTCTTCCATGATCATCACCGGCGAAGCAGAATAGGGCAGCAAAGACCAATCATTAGGTACTGATCTATTGATTTATTTCGTGACTTACTGAAAGCACTGCTTGTACTGCCTATTTGCCAAGCATGCCTTCGCCTCCTGCCTGGAACAGAATGACCATGACCAGGAGAAACAGTGGTAACATTGGGTCATGTTGCCCTTAACAACCTGCAGACTGCCATTTAGGCTTCTGTACAATATCACTCGCTTGCCCCCCCTCCGCCCCCCACCTTGTAGTTTTAGAGTATAAAACGCTAATACAAACTGGACCCCAACCGAGGCCTTTCAGGAACTATCCTGGCTTGAGTTCATCAGTAACATCTCTGCCCTTCCGCTCTCACTGATATAGGAGAGCTTATTCCAAAGAGTCCTGACACACCCGAGGCCGCGCCTTCTCTCCTCGCTGATCCCTACCGGCATCAGATCTCCCAAACAAAGGCTGGCCGGCAGGCACTCTACTTGAACCATAGCTTGTCTTCTTTTCTGTTTTGAGCATTTTCTTCGTAATATCAGGTCTTGCTCGTTCATCTCCTCAAGTCTGTGCTTGTTAACCTCCACTAACCAAAGAAAGACGTCTGCTTTGTGTGTTTCGTTATAAACTCGCTGCTTATAACCCTGCGTTATTTCTCTTCGAAGAGCTCGTCTCTTTGGGATATGGTCCTTACAGTCTTCTTTGTCCTGCACCTCTCTTGTCTGACCTTTCATGGACGTCTATTCCAGCTTGCAGGTCGTGCAGACACTCGGCAGTCATGCTTCCGAAGAAGCAATTCCAAGGACGGAAGAGTCAATGTCAGCAGGGGACAAGGGTCCCAGCGCCGTAGCACCGCCGGGCTTTAAAAGCAAAGTGCCTTGGGTGCAAGACAACACAAAGAGAGGCGCCGGTAGACGCGAAGCAGAGGGGAGGCGCTGTCGGTGGGTGGGCACCGCTGGTGTGCGGGCGCACCATTCCCCCTAGCAGACATAGTGACAGGGAGCGCGGGACCGAGAGCAGGTCGGAGCCGAGAGAGGGACCTTGTCTTGCCTCAAGCTTCCAGTTCTTCCTTCTCTCCTCAGCAACCTTTCTCCAGCTTGCACCCCAAGTTCCGCAAGTGTGCAGAGCCCGTACCGTCCCCAGCTGTGTCTTGGCCCAAATCCATCAGAGGGGCAAACCCTGGAGAGGCCGCTGCGGTGCCCCTTACCTTCCGCGCAGGCTCCAGAGCCAGGCTCCTAGAGGCAGAGCTTAAGCCCCGCCCAGGCCCCACACGAACCAATAAAACGCTGTATATGGATGATTGGCACCCAGCGGCGGGGAATTCGGGTCCGGATTAGGCATTGCTAATATTGTGGGCGGGCCTACACGAGAGGAATCCGGAAGCGCCGGGCGCTGGTCTGGCGGCCGCTGGGGCCCAGGATCCCGGCTGGGGTCCAGGATGTCTGCTCATCGGAAGCACGGTAGGCAGGAAGGGCGGCACGTGAGCGGAAACTGGGTCTGAGACCCGCAGGGGTGGAGGGTGTCCTCCTGTTGTGACCTGCGGGCGTGGTAGGCTGATGGGGGGGATCGTGGGTCTTGAGGGACCTTAAGTATCTAGGGCAGGGCGGGTATGATGGGCCCTGAGGGGGCCCGGGGTGTGTGGGGGGGACGTGGAGTGTGTGGGGCCCGTCTGCTGTAGTGGGTTCCTCCTGCTGCTGGCTGGGTCGGGAGGGTATCGCAGCCTTTCAGGGGTCTTCGATGTCTCTGCGACCTCACTGATGGAGCAGAGTCCTCCAGAGCCTCGATGTCCTCACAAGCTGGGGCGTGGGAATAGGGTGTGTTTTGGGGGCGGTGGGGAGTAACACAAGACCTAGCCTCAGGAGGGCTGCCTCCACCCACCCAGGGCAGCCGGGCCATCCCGCTGTTCCTATGGTCCTCATCTCTGGGTTAGCGTCTGGAGGTCCTGGAAATGCAGATCTTGTAATGGGAGTGGAGACTATCATGCTTCTCTGTGTTTAAAACATGCTTCTCCTGTGAAAGGAAAAAGGAAGAAAAAAAGAAAAAAAGCCAGTGTCAGCTGTATATAGTTTATAAATATCTTTAAATGCTTAAAAAGTAGGAAACTAGTTTCTCAGCAAGCGAGAAAAGCATGAACGAGTTAGTAAAAATCCCCAGTCTGTGTATTTTTTTTCCTGTGTAGAAAATTGTACTAGTAACCACCCACTTCAGCCCCAGTGAGTTCCCACTTTCATCTAATTGCCTCCCCCAACCCCCCAAAAAGTAAGACGATCTCAGGGGTTAGAAAGGACATAACCATTTCGAAACAATCAGATGTGGTGTTCCAAAATGGACATCAGGGTTCTTTAGCGTGTAACAGAACCTTGCTGCAATCTCCCACCGGAAGAGAGTCCAAACACTGTACTGGTTAACATATGTTCAGCTGTCTCCTGCATTCTGAGTTGGTGCCACACCCCATGCTTCATCTTCTTGCTTTCCCTTCTATGTCTCAGATGCTTCTAAACCTGACATTAAATGCTTTTTCCTGAGCAGAGTAAAGCAGCTAGCCAACTTGAAAAACCTTTATAGCCTCGCTAAATTCAAATAAAATGAAGGGAATTTTTCCGTTGTTTTCATCAGTCACTAAGCTACCCCCTGAAAATAGTCTCTTTTTCTATTGGAGAGAATATATGACAGAATTATCAGGTGCAATTTAAGTAGCTTAAGAATACTGTGTTTGCAAAGATACCCCCACAGAAAACTGCTGGCAATGGCCGAGAGACAGCCGGGACTGATCTACTCTGGTGATGGGATGGCCAAACACCCTAATAGTTGTGCCAGAAACCCCATGCAAGGACTGAGGAATCTGGATGCAGAGATCCATGGCTAGGCCCCGGGTAGAGCTCTGAGAGTCTAATTAGCAAGAAAGAGGAGGGTTTATATAAGCAAGAATTGTTGAAACCAAGGTTGGATAAAGCACAGGGACAAATAGCCAAACGAATGGAAACACATGAACTGTGAACCAAAGGCTGGGGGGCCCCCAACTGGATCAGGCCCTCTGAATTAGGTGAGACAGTCGATTGGCTTGATCTGTTTGGGAGGCATCTAGGCAGTGG